CATTTTTTAAGAAGTTGATCTTTTTTGGAAGATCCAGTATGCTCCCTTTTCAAAAGGAGGCCAGCATATCTGATTTTGGTGTTCATGCCGTTGCTTTGAATAAAAGGGATGAAAAACCATCCCTCTCTCTATTAGATTAGAGAATTTATCATGATCGTGTTTGAGCTTGTTCTTGTCAAAAATATACTCAGACTTTGGCTGCTTATGCTAAGGTACATATTTTAGAACCTTAAACACTGGTTGGTAGTGATCTGTAGAATGGTCTATAAACTGGAAAGGCACAAGATTATTTATAATTTCATTTAGATGTTTATTTAGCTTAAAGGAAAGACAAGGAGGTGAATAGTAGGCCAGTCCTCAGAAAAACTTAGGCAGTTATACAAAAATACAAAAAGTATAGAAATTAGATAAGGATGCAGTTCTTTTAGATGACCAAATTTGCAATTAATCTGCATAACAGGTAGCTGGTGGGGATAATTTACATGGCTTATATGAAATAATATAGCTTGTTCAGGAAGCACTGACTTGGGGAAACAGGAATAAAAACAGGTTATGTTTGTGTACCAGGGATGCATGGGCTTGCAAGAGCACACAGAGATTGTGATAGACTTGCTGGACATCCTGGGGGTAAGCAAAGTTGGAAAGCAGGTGGATGATGTCCAAAACTGTGTACTGCAGGTGCTGTCAAACCACGTGGCAGGAGGACTTGGTGAGGAACTAACTGGCAGGATCATCCAGCACATAGAATTTACCCGTAATAAGGATGCTGACATCATCAGTATCGACTTGGGAAAGAACACAGCAGGACACAGATTGTCCAGCAGGTTTTTAAAAGCACCAGAAAGGTTATGATGCTGAAGGTGTGAAGGACATAGTTACAGGGTTCTTTTCTTTGATTGTATTCAGTCAGGAGAAACTTACTGAGAATGTCCAGAAAGAAGGTGATGTTAGTGAGAGGGATCTAACGTACCTTTTAATGTACGGTCCCTATGATGGGATGGAGCAATAACAAAATAATAGCAGTGGATTTCAAAAAAAAAAAAAAAAAATCAGTGAGCTTAGAGATTTGGTAAGGAAAAGCTTTCTTGTGTGCTGTCTCACAGGAAGTAAAAAGAAGTGACATTTTAAAGAAATTCTATTAAAACAGAAGTGCAAACTTGCTTATTGTGGACAAAAGACTGAAGGTGTAATAAGAGACCAAATTCCGGAAGGAAGTCCACAGGAAGTGGAAACTGTATCAGGTTACTAAGGACAAACTCAGAAGCGTAGCATGGGCACTTAAGGACGTTATGAAGGCACAAAATGAAATGCAGCTAACAGGGGAAATCAGAGGTAGTAATAAATGTGTTTATAAGGCTAATTTTCAACAATTCATTGTCAAAATGGAAAGGCTTATTGATTAGGGCTGCACAAGATCCTGGTTCCTGTGCTAGTCAGTTTTCCATTAGCAATTTAGATAATAAAAAGATTTTTCAAATTCCTTTCAGCGCCATGATTCAGCAAGGTGATTTATACTTGGGCATAGTCTTACTCATTTACAGAAATGTTCCGGGTTCACCTCTACTTTCCCAGCTTTCAAGAGTGTTGCTTTTACTTTTACGAAAGAACTGTGTGCAATACTGAGGTCTGCATTCAGTTTCAATGGACTCTGAAAGTGTAAGTGCACGTGGGTCCCTATTGCCTTGGTTTTCATTCGCCATGATCTTTAGAGAAGACAGCGACTCCTTCTTTGGGCTGCACTGACCCTGAAGACCTAGACAGCAATATACCCATGCACATCGTATCAGATCTTTTTTAAAAGCACAGCTGTACTTGCAGCTGTGCTCTACGTGCTCTCACAGCCTCTATAGCAAGACTATAAAGACTGTGATAGCTTTAACCAGCATTTGGCAACTTGTTTCTCAAGGTCCCAAGAGAATTAGGACTCCAAATTAGCAGAGGGAGGGGGCAGCAGTAGACTCTGTCAGAGCAGCGTATCTCAAAGAACTACACTGGTTCTCTATTGCTCTTTTGGTGATCACTCACACAGATTCAACTCCAGGTGATCGGCAAAGTTATCTCCTTGCTTGGTAGTTAGAGGAAGATCCTTAAGCCTGTGCCTGCAGGACAGCCTTACCAAGATTGTCTGCTCTGATCTGAAATGCTGAGCCACAGTGGGGTGGGAGATAGGTCAATGTGCAAAGCTCTGTTTGACAGAGCTACAGACTTTGACTATTGGGATTGGTATTAGAAGGAATGTCGTGGCTACACGTTATAAACAAATCAGGCACGCTATCTCAGCTCTAAATGAATGGACTTTACTGTGACTGGATAATGTATTAGAGATGTCTGATAGCAAGCTTGAGTGCTATCCAAGAAGCAGCTAGAAATGACCTAGAGTCTAGAAGAGGATTAGATAGCCTTTGTCCTAAGCAAATTAAAGGCAGCGTCTTCAATTTAATCTAGTGTTTGAAGTCTTGCTTCTCCAAGAATAAGGCTTACTGAAGAAAACTGGGTTGACTGAGATGTGCAAATTGCATTGTTTTAGAATTAAGATTAGTATTAGAATTTAGATGTGGCCCGGGGTAATCCTATAAATTACAGGCTTTGGGAGACTGGCCACAGGGAGCTGCATTTCTGCTGTTTTCCTGTTGGATATACTGGTTACAGGAAAAATAATTTTTACTGGAGGGGTGAAGAGGGTCTCGTAGCTCAGCCAATACTGCACTGACTTTCAGGGAAGAGAAGATTGTCCCAAGGAGGAAGGAGTGCTTGATGTCCTTCAGATATCTTTACACAGGATGTAAAAATGTTATCTCACCCTGAAGCAGAGGCTATCTGGGGAGACTACTTCTAAGTATATCCTGGTAGGCTTGACAAAGCCTGAATTACATGCAGGGAATAAAATAGTCTAAGTTGTGGTGTTTAATGGAATGATTCACTGCTGAGCCACACAGAAAATACACATTTCATTTAGCATTGTAAGTTCTGGCAAAGGATTTCCTGCTTTCCAGTGACGTGACTTGTTCAGATTCAAGGAGATTATCAAGGCAGCATGCGGGCTGTCAGGTACAGTGACACTGAATGCTGGAAAAGAGCTGTGACTTGAGGAGAAAAAGTGTGGAAAAAATGAGAGGATGATCAACAGATGGGGTTACAGGTTTGTCAAGACAGACCATTAAAACTATTGTGTCCGTGTGAGTGTTTTAATGCTGGCCTTGTAATAGTACTTCGTATTTTGGCCTAAGCAAACAAATCTGTTATTCCCTAGATGAATGTAGTTCTTCCAGTATACTACTTTAAGTTACCCAGATATCACCTATATATCCATGGATACTTTCTGTTTGCAAAGATAAAAGTAAACACCTTGAAAACATTTCTCTGTTATGGCCTACCTCTGTCATAGTGGGACAGCTTAATACATCTAGAGCTCTAACTGCTTGCTTGTTTTGTTCTGCACAGATCTTATGTGCCACAGGAGAAATACAGAACTTGTCAGAAGACCTTTTTTTCCCAACTGTACAGTTACATTTAGCATATACAGGCCTAAATCGTATATTCTGCAAAGCTCTAACTTCAGGGGGTTTTAGAGGTATCTGTTTCTGCAAAGTAATGGGAAACCAGAAAAACAATGGGGAAGTTCAGGCAGAACAAAAGATTCTGTAGCCTATATATAGGTTAAATAGGCATAGAAGATAGAGGTTAACACTTTGTGGATTGTAGAGGTCTAGATATATTCTTAAACAGCAAAGCAAAGCATGCAAGGGAGGCCCCTGATGCAGAATCTGATGGCCGCACTATCATAAAGACTGGCACTTGTGAGATAACCATGTACAAAGAGCAGCAAGGAAGGTGGCATTCTCACTTCCACAGAAAAATGCACCATTTCCCCCATTTTTTTCCCCTTTCACACGGTGGTGATTAATTTTAGGCCTGAGAATTCTCAGTCTCTGAGACAAGAGTGGCTGCAGATGCTGGGAGGTGGAAGGATACTGGGAACAATATCTTTCAGAGAGTCTGGCACAAGCTCATAGGAATCAGTTTCTGTGCCGTGCAGAAACATGTAGCTGCTCATCACTTGTCCATCTGGACTGTCCACTAATCTGCTTATAATTAATCTTGCATGATACATGGAACACAGTTACCCTACCTGCTTTTGGGTTGGTGTACTCAAATGTTAACCCCCAGCGTTAATTTAACCCCCAGCGTTAACGTTTTGTGACTCAAAAGTCCTGAATAATTATTGAGGACTTGATTGTGCCTATTCAATGCTAAAGTTTTAGAGAAGAACATTCAGACTCTCCTGAGGCTGATTTTGAATGGTGCTGTGTGAACATAACAGCTTTCTAGAGGAACAACAAATGAAGCCTTGGCACGCTGGGGCATTGAGGTAGACCTGCTAACATGTTCCACAGCCCCATTTGTGGTTCTTCAGCGCTCATGTGTCTTTTGGTACCAAGCAGTGGGATACAGAACTGTTTGTAATGAGCTCTCCAGAGATTTCTTGCACACTGTGTACCCCTGAGCTATTCTGTAATGCCCTATAGACCTTCTGTTTTTCTGCTGCCAGTCTCTCCCATTACCTTTGGTTGCTTCACAGTCAGGAACAGATGGGTACATCTGGACAGCCCAGCACGGTGCTGAGCAAAGAAGAGTTAGCCTGAATCTCGGAAGTAGCGCAGCTGTATTGCTCCGCAAACTTGTATATCATTTCATGGCAGTATCTCGTGTCCTTTATATGTACCCAAACTCGCTCGCTCTTTCGGTCTATAGTAGGTATGTATACCACTACATAGTTACCAATGTACTATGCTTCTGTCTCCATTTTCTCCATAAAAGAACGATAAGGATTTTATGAATAGCTGAGTATGCGGGTAGAAAAGAAGTCTCTGCAAAAACACAGAGGTTTTGGACAGAATCAAAAGGAGGAATTGTGGCTGTTTCTCCTCAGGATAATGGTTTCCCTATTGACCCTGCATTACGTCACCAAAGCATGTACTGTGCTTTATTTTTCTTTCCAGATTAATATGTCAGATAACTTCACCAATTATGAGGAGGAAGTGGAAGAGGATGACACTTACATCGTTATGTTAGGCTCAGAAACTCAACCGACCATTAGTAAGTCATGCTGTGAGACACATCATGCACTACGTTCAGTAAGAAATAATGAAACCTGGAGACCTGTGGGATTAAATACAAACAGTGAGGTCAAATTATTTTAATGCTTTCGATCTCCGCACTTTACCACAACTTCTGGGGAGGGCAGATGTCCTGGGAGAAGCAGAAGGCAGGTAAGGGATTTATGTATCGTCCAGTTGTGCTAGCACAGGCATAGCTCCGTAAAACAGACCTCAATGCAAGCGCATCTCCTGGTAGGTTCTGGAAATAGGTGCTCTCTGCTAGTGATCTGGAAGACGGCTGAATTCTCCAAATTCTCAGAGAACAGCCTTTTCATGGGGGGAAACACTGCCTACAGGTGTGGCCGATTCCTGTGTGGAGGCATGGAGAGTAGACTTTTGCAGCCTGCTCTTCATGCATCTAAGCATAGGTTGGTTGATCACAGGGTTATTGCTTATGCATGTAGTCATATGCATTCCCCTTGAAAACTGCAGACTTGATTTGTGTGCACTTACTGATGGCAGTTACTTATAGTTATGTGTATCTTACAGTATCACATCTCTATAACGCAAGGCTAAACTTTATCCCGCTTTTATCTTACCTGTTTGTTGACAAGTTTATCTTTCTGACTGTCTCGTATTCTGTACGAAACTGATGCTTCTTTGCTAAGTTTAAGCCTATTACTTTAGCGCATCTGGGTAAACAGTAGACACCGTGAAATTGTCAGCCAGAAGTCTGGTTAGCCCTGTCACATTTCCACTGTCTTCTGTCACACTTCCACAGTATATGGGAACATCTTGGGGTGGACACATGGAGGGAGAACACAGAGCTGGCTGTGTTAACCAGCTAAATGCCATAACCTCCTATTTTAATCAGGGGTGAAAGAAAGGCCTTTCCAAAGGATAACTTGGAATGGGAAACCTACCTCAAGGGCTCTGTATTACCTGTTACACATTGGCTATAGGGCTGTTGAAGGAGCTATATAATTTGCTCTTTTGTGTTGCTTAGGTTGACTACCCAAAGCTTGATGCTATACATAGTGATGAAAATTTACCCATGTGCATCTCTCTGTTATATTCTTATTCTGTGGTCTTATTCTGGGTCACTAAAGACATAAATGCTCAGTTTACACAGGAAAGTGGAGTTCATCTCCCAAGGGCAATGTTTATTTCATTTTAGAGATGTGAACAAGCAGCCAGCTTCCACAGGGTATTAAAAACAAGTTGCACAGCTGTGTGAGCTATGGCTTTATTTTACTAAGTGGTGTGCTGTGCTGCACCGAAAATCGGGTGATACAAATTACAAGCAAGGTAAGTGTGTGATTCAATTCTGACAATAACTCTAGAATTGCATGCACAAAGATGTTGCGTGCCAGAGTAGCAATATATAATAAAAGCTTCCACAGGTTATCTGGTAAATATTTTAAAAGCTGTTCACTGACAGTATGTATCTGACAGCTTTCCTACTGTATTAGTTCATAAAAGTTTTATTACCATTGTGTTACTTCTGTGGAAAACCTTGAAACAGGAAATGTTTCCATATGGTCTTAAATGAAATAATGCATTCTTTAGCATTAAAAGCCAAGCAGAACCCAGGGGATCAGCATGGAATTGGATCAAGATGCCAAAGAGAAGCTGAGGTGGATGAAGAAAAGAAAGACAATGTAGAAGATGGCCTGGAAGAAACAGAGAAAGAACATGAGGAAGATAAAGTAGGGGAAGATTCATATAGCTTCAATAACAAGCCTGACAGTTTGTACGCCAACATACTTGATGACAGTCCTGAAGAGAACAGAAGAGACTGCTTTTTCTATAAGAGGCCACCCCTTCTTCCCCCTCGAAATCTGCCTGGCACCTTCAAACAGGATGATCTGCACAATTTATCACAAGGTATGATCTTGGGAGGAAAATAACCCCAAATACAAGCATATGCACAAATGCTGATCAGGTGCTGCTATAGAGATTGTGTAAAATCACTTCTAATAGTAGCAGCTATACAGTATGGCCCCAATTATGTAAAGCAAGTGTGTGCCTATCAACTTTGCTGCATGAAGATTATCATGACCAAGGATGACAGCTAATACTGTCGTGTGGACTGCTAGGCTCAAGTTTCAGATCTTCTTCCTCCTGCCCATCTCAGAGAACTGCCAAATAACACATGATGAATTGGATTTACAACAGAGGTTTTAAAATATTGAGGTTATATTTTTTTTCCAAGTTGACTTAAATATTTATCATTTAAAAATATGAAATATTATTTTGAATGCAGTTTGGAATTTCACAGGTGGAATTAAAAGAAGGTGGCAGAGTGGGAGAAGTTACATAGTATTTTATTACGTTTTAGTAAATGTTGTGGTTAGAAATATAACACTATATTATGTTGTACATTGAAGAGAGGGAGAAATCATAATCTTTAATGAAATGCTGTGCTTTTTTCTTTCTTTTCTTGTTTTAAATAATTTGACCCCAGAGTAAAAATCTAAAATTAAGCATTGCAGTTTGATTCAAGCATGAGAAGGCTAAAATACTGGTGGCATCTATTTCTGAAAGGATGATGATCATTTTTTCTCATTAGAAAAAAATATGTAGGAAAGAATTCAAACTAAATATCGGTCTTAAATAGTAAAAAAAAAAAAAGAAAAAAAGATTGCTTGTCATGGACACTACTGATAGGTGTGCACACAAATTGCTTCTGAGTTTGCGCCAAAGCTTATTATTGTTAGCTCTATTTTTAAATGTGGCATAACCTATCAAAGACCTAAATTACCATCTCCAAGCACTTCTAAAATTCACCCAAGTACATAGAAATAGCTTTCTAGCCTTATAGCCTGCTTCAGGTAGGATTTCCTCCAGTTTTCTGCTGTAAAAGAAAAAGCTCGTTACATATAGGAAGTCACAAGGGGTTTCTAAAAGAAAGACAGGCGGAATGAAATTACTGTTGAAAATACCTTTTCCCTCCCATGAAGTACTCAAAGGTAGATGTATAAGTGCATAAATGAGGGGGACAAGTTTTGCATACGGGATTTATTAGTATAGGTTTGATGTAAATGCCTGTCTTGGGACAGCTCTCACATGGCTTTATCATCCAATAGTAATGGGTCCATCTCAGCCACATGCCAGCTGCCTGTATATGGCCACCAGCAGAGAAAGTTTCTCTGCTATGCAGCATCCTGTGCTGAGTCCAAGGGTAATACAGAGTTCATTTAAAAAGGCTCCTGTTTGAATCGTTCATTTAAAACATGCTGTGCTTTTCTTGGAGTGTTAACCTTAGTTTCGTTATTTTAGCTTTAGTGGCGGGGAGAAAAAATCAGGACTTCTCTAAATTGGGATGATAGTTGCTTTTCAAAGAGGAGCTGTAATGAGTCATTGCTACATATTTTAGTCAGCCACTTACTGTTAGATATTGCTGTGGAATACCTAAAAGGCAAGTCGGAGTTCAGCCATCTTCTTGAAGTATCTTTCTTTTGGCAATGGCATGAGAGTGCCCCCTGTGGGAGTTAAAAGAAGAAAACATCCTACAAAGTTAAAAACAGAACTTCTACAATGTCATAGAAACAAAATATTTTTCATATTAAATATGGCAGATATATTTATCACATTTGTTCTTTTAAAATTTTGTTATATCTTAGCCAGAATGCATACTAATACATGCCATTTATAAATTACATTTGTATCACATTTACAAGGAGCATTTAGCTCTTTTGAACCCCTAAACAGATAAAAACAATTCTTTACTCTAAATGGCAGCCACAGGATTTAAAACACTGGTTGTGACTGCAGCCTAGTTCATCAGATACGCATGTGCAGGCAGAAGACAACAACACAAGGAAAACATGGCTTAGTACAAAATTTCAAGTGATTCTTCTGTTTGCTCAGGGAAGGTGGGTGATCAGCACAAGAGAGTTGTAAACGTTTATGGGATGAGGAGGCTTAGTAACGGCTTCTAATTCTTAGGAGTTTGTGAGTTTTTTAAATACGTTTTTAAAACACATGCAGGTGCAGGAACCTTACTGATTCCTTTTAAAAGCTGTAAAAGCTAATGGAAAGCAAGTTCTGATTAGTTGGACTATGCAATATATGCAGTAGAAGGGAGTACAGAAGAAACAGTAACCCAGGAAGTTATTTGGGTGTGTGGGTTTAGAGGTCATAAATTTCAACTACATTGTAAGGAGCTTTTTCAATTTTTTTTTCCATCTTGTCCTAGAGTACATCTTAGTCAAACCCTCAAAAACAGATGGGACATTGAAGATGTTGGAAAGATAAAACCCAACATTTTCTAAAATAGGTTTCAATTCCAAAGTCATTGTTGAAACAGGTAACAAATAGCCTTTCCACAATGCCAAGGGCACAAGTACTACTTACTTTGCTTGACTGTTCAAGAACATGTTTGTGTGACTCCAGTGGGAGCAACTGGGACTCCTAATATTTCTTTTAAATAAGGTCACTTATTTGGGGGCCAGTACATAACCATCCATTTTTGATAATCTGAGGTGAAATCACGAGGAGGCCCTGAATTTGGAAATATTCTTTTGGAAAATCCTCTCTATTGACTTAGATGATCAGAACTTCTGAAAATCAGAGCACTTTAGTTTATATGTGAAGTTAGGACTCCAACTTACTTGAGAAAAATTTAAACAGTAATTTAGTCTGAATCTCCTTTCTTTAACCTGTATGCTGAACAGAATTCCTCTCTTTTTCAGAGAGGAATCTGATGGAAGACAGAAGTGAAAGAGAACATGGTGATGGAGACTTAACAGCGTGTTACGGAGAAGACCCAGATACATATGAGGGAGATGGTGAGGAGGAGGACCCGTACACTTTTGCTAAGTTGGATGAGTCTGTGTACGATATAATACTGGCTAATGAGGAGAAGGAGAAAAGGAAAGAACGCAGGTCTTTTATTGTGAACAGGCCTCCAGCTCCTGCCCCTCGTCCTATATGTTCAGCAGTCAGAGAGGAGAACACTCCCTATATAGTGCAAGGTTAGTGTTGCTTCTTTGCAAATGTTTGCTGGTAGAGTATGGACATGTGCGTTCTATTTGATGAGTAATATTTTTCTAAAACATAGAGATCCTTGTTCAGTAACTTGCAAACCAAAAAATTGGTTGATTCAGTCAACCTATTCCCACCTTTAAATGCACGGAAAACATCTCTGACTAATTTTCACTTTGCATCTAAGATAACATCACTTTTTTGGTTTAATTTTTTAAGGGTTATGACAGTACGACAGAAGATTAAGAATCATTGGGCTAGCTGTGAGTGTGTTTCTTTTAACACTGTGATACTGAATAAGCTATTTGCATAGTCTGTCCTTTCTATCAAACTTTTTTTTTTTTAATTCTAAGACTTATATTTCAAACAGATTCTGTTTTTCTCGTAAGAACAGTGGGGAAAAAATGCCTATGTGAGGGTTCCTCTTTCACATATCCTTTATTTCCTGCAAGGAAATGCTAGAAGTTGCCATCTGGAGAAGGGTTGTGTCCTTTTACCATTCCTGTGAAAACTGATGGACTTTCTTGAGCTTATTCATGGAAATGCAAGGCTGTAGGAGATTCCAGGTATCAGTTAGTCCAGTTCAAACTGAAGCCAAATTTCAAAATAACAGAAAGATACTCCTGCTGTGAACTTACAGCCGGAGTATCTCCACGTAAGCCCCCAACTCTCTGCATTTCCAGCCTCCTCCACAAATCTGGAAATTGTATAAGATTAAGCATAAAAAGGAATTGTAGAAAAAGAGGCTGAAAAGCATGCTAGTAGGTTACTTACTCCACCCTTTGGCGCTAAAACAGAGGCAACACTACCAAAATCCTTCTAACAAATACAGAGGAGTACCTCCTTTTTCACCCCTATTTCAGCCGGTGATTTCTTTTATTCTTCCTACCCAGCTGCCTTCCTCCAGCCCATATAGGGCTCCAGGGGAAGGCCAGAATGCTTGGGCTAACGTGTTTGGCATTTAGTTGCTCTTTATTCGGCATATTCAGGAAGCAAAAGTATGAATCAGTACAGCAGTTAAAGAGTAAACCAAGAACCAGTGCATATAGGGGACCCAAGTACAAAGGCCTTGAAATAGCTGCTTTTACTGAGATGGGTAGAGCAGCACTTCAGATCTCGCTCCTCCGTTATCAGAGGTGAGCTGGTGATTTGAAAACTGTTACTTGTGAAGATGCATTTGGAAGATTGTTTTTACTGTCTTTTACTGCACAGGAGTATTTCAACTTCCTTTACCCTAACTAGAAAGAGACTATCAGACCAACTGTTTTGATGAGACTGTGGTTTTTTTACTCCATATATATGAACCCAAGGTTTTAAACGTTGCTTTTATAAGCAAGCAGCAGTAAGCAAATTCCTCTCCTACTGTGCTGTGAAATCAGCCTCTGTCCCAAATTCATTCACTTATACAATAAATAAGCAAAGTGGAAATGTTCAAGAAAGAAAAGAAAAGTGTGACACTGACCCATTTGGGCCCTTGCTTCTCCTGGCTGTCATGTTAATCCCAGATCTGGGCTTTCCTGCCCTCTTGTTTTCAATTCCTGAAATAGCCAATGATGTTTTAGACAGAAGTGATATATCCAGCCAAAAAATTTCAATTGCTACTTGTATTGGCAATTTGTGGCCTCTGTGATGGTTTAAAAAACTCTTCATCCAGTCTACTAATAAACTAGTTTCCAGTTTATTATATTAAAACTACTTATAATTAAAAAAAAAAAAAAGTTGTTTCAGCTGTAAGAACCAGAAAATTACATTTCAACCCATCACTAAAATCTGGATGTGTTTGCAGAGATGGCTTTATAATGTATTCTAATTAGTGTAAAATAAAATTACTCTGACTAGTATATAGACTCATTTTTAATCCCTCATACAAATTTATGATAGTTTCAGGTTTTGTTGTTCGTATATTATGTTAAAAAAGCATTATTTGAAGTTGCAACATCAAATAATCAGAAAGTTAGAAGTGAGATAGTTTTGCCATTTTACTTTCTTCCTACCACGCTCATTATGATACAGTCTTTAAATTTATAACCATATGCTGCTGTTAATCGCACAGATATTTTGTTCCACATAGTATTTAAAATGAGTGTGCATGAGATGCAGAAGTGGTCCGTGTGTTTTTCATTCTTATTGTTGATTAAAATATAATTCCTGGCCTAGTTACTCTGTGTTGTTTCAAACCTTCCTGTGCAGATAAAGGTGTTAATTTTCGCTGTATTCACTGAGTTTTTGGATGCCCAATGTGAAATAATTATGATCCCATGTTTGAGATGAACAGCATTATATAATAATTCATTCATTCGAAGCAGAGATCCCATTGATTGTGAATGCTCAGAACTTCAAATTAAAACATTAATGCATCTAGTCAGCATCTTAAGAGAAGGGACGCATAAATGTGATTGCTTGTTAAAGTGACTTGTCTGGAGTTACTCAGAGGCTTTGTTGGAGGGAAAAGTCTGATTCCCCAGAGCAGCTTTTAGTTACTTAACCTGAGATATCCTTCGCTATTCTGTATTCTCTCTCTATGCACTAAATACTTTTTAATTTCTAAAACAAATTAAATAATATTCCTATGAGAAACAAGTCATGGTTGCTGCACAGCTGTGGTTGATCTTCAGAACCGTTTGTGCTGAGTAAGACACAGGTCCTATGGAAAAAAAATATGATTAGAGAATAGATCACAAGGCACATGCGTAGGAAGGCTGTATTAAGGCAACACAGTCACCCGTAATTAGATCCATGTGCGCTTTGGGAGTTCACAGAAAGAGCAAGCTTTGTCCCCCGATTGTAGAGGCTGCTGTGACAGTGCTGTGCAGAGATGCAGGAAGAGGATTTCTTTTTGCCCTCTTTGCACCCACAGAAGTGATGGAAAAATCTAGGCTCATTTATCGGTCAAAAATACAGTAAGTGTTGTATAGCAGAAATGCCTGCATACCTCCTGGATTGCCTGCTGGGGCCACCTTTTGAATTCAGTTCTCCTATCAGTCAGTTCAAAGCAAGTGGTTAGATTCCTATGGTTGCTTTCACCACACCTTGAAGTTAAGGAAGTTGCAAAGGAGTATCTTCTGGTTTTGCCAGAAGTGTTGGAATTTCCCTGAGGATAACAACAAAGCAAGCTAGAAAATAGCCCTCTTTGTAAAAAGAAATAGCTTTCAAATACATGGAAACACAAGTTCACACTATGCAAAAAGCCTACTTTGTGCGGATTAGCACTGGGTGCTCTGCAAAACAACGCTAGAACTGCTGCTTTATAGAAAACAAGCACAGGACTTCACCATCCCATACTTAAGAGTCTCTTCCAGAGCAGGAATTACGCTTTGAAACCTAGGCAGAGACATTATATTATTATAATGAAAGTGCAAACTACTGTATTGGACGCTCTGCTAAGTGTACTCCGTCTTTAGCAAACGGTGAACACATTTGTTGTTTAATTTAGACCATTCTAAGATTTCTGCCTCATATGAGAAAGGCCCATCAAGCATCTGAGCTGCAAATTGGTGCCAAATAGCCTGTTGTCCAGATGGTGTGCGCTCTTAGTGTGCTCCCTTTCCGTTCCTTAAGTGCTTAGTATTCTTTTGTAGGTTATTTCTGTGTTTTTTGATTGTGTTCTGCCAAAACAACTGTTAAATAAATGTATGAGGTATTTTGTTTTCATTTTACAGTGAAATTTTAATGCTCCCTATTGATACCAGATTGACTGAGCCAGAAACCAAAGTCCCTAGTATAATCTCAGAACAGGTGCAAGAGTTCCTCTAATGCCTTTTCAGTATTTCTGAAGTCTGGCCTGTCTGGATTGCCTTGGGGCTAAAGGATTACATTGTTACCCTTGCTCGATCATGTATCTCTTATTCGAGACCACCAGTACCATCGAGTTCTCTGCAGTATGGGCACCTGTCCTACCACAGCATAAATAAAACTTCATTTGCTTTGCATGTCACTAGAGGAAGTCTGGAAGAGCCACTTACTACTTTGCTTCCTATGCTATAGCTTTTGTCCCTTTACTGACCTCTCATAAATCCCTGAAGCAATGCGTTCCTCCTCTGTGCACTGGAAACATTTTATTACACAGAGATAGCTGTCTGAGAGACTTAACCAAGGTTAAAAGTGGAAAAAACAGTTACTATTCCAGAAGGGAACAAATTGCATACCCGTTGCTCATCAAAATCACAGGGTATGCAGCAAAAGTAGCAGCCAGTCAGTGTTTTTAGGGAGGCAGAATATTTTATGTACAGAATAGACGACAACATAAACCCAAATGCAATAAAAAAAAAAAAAACAACAATCGAACACAGAACTGCTAGTGTTTGGGAAACTTAACAGGCTGATTACTGGGAACATTAGTGATTGCGTCCTGAGTTAGAAATTCCTATTATGTAGATTGTATAAATGCTCTAAAACAGGAGTTCCCAAAGTGAAACCTTGGTGCCTATGCGAACTGCAAAAATATTTATGTCCCACAAAGGGATTTTTCAGTACCTTCCTACAGTGAGTATAAAGTACTGCACTGCAGATGAATTTCATTATGTATCTCCAACTTAAGGATGTTTTCCCATGAATAAAATGCTAGGAACCACTGTTCAACTGTCTTAGAATGGTATAGACCCTTTTTACAGAACAGCTTGGGAAGTGGTATACAGGCCTCATTTCCCATACTGATTCAATCAGATTTTTTGCTACTTTAACTAACTTGTGTAGATTAAAATACATGCTGAATAAGGTGCAGAAGAAGAAAATATTTTTAGGATGCAACCTGATTGAAAAGCAGACTGTTCTAAATAGTATATTTCTGGTAAAACCAGATATAGTCTTTCCCTTTTTGATTTTCTCTACTGAAGAACAATGGGACTGCAAAAGTATGTTCACATTACATATCAGAACAAATATGCTTCAGTATATTGCTGGAGTCCTTCCCACTTCCGAATCTGCTGTTAAATTTCTGACAAGAGCAAAAGTGGGAGAGTTCTCTTCGTCATATATTGTATAGCAAGTACATTGCCACCACAATCGGAAGGGCATGTTACCCCGACCTGTACATATGCGTCTAGCTCAGCAGCCTCTCGTGACTCATGCAGTAATATGGGCTTCTAGGATTACGTAGACTGTCTTACCTCAGTGCAGGGGAGTAGCTGTCGCTCTGAGGTCTCCTGAGGACCCTCTCAGACCAAGGCTGCTGTGATTCTAACAGGTTTGAGCTCATATTTGACACTCAGAATCTGACTGCACATTGGGAGGAGAATCGCTGGTGTGTCTGTATTTATTTTTGGATTAATGTTTTCACATTGTCATTGCCTTGCGATTCTTTTTAAAGTCATTTTACTTTTGATCTGAGAAAACTGGGTTTCTCAATCTCAGCTAACTAATTATGTGGCTATAGAAAGTAGAGGCTGACAACAGACTGTATAAGTTCTGATGGGTGGATGTGATGCTGTAATTGAAAAATTCAAATAGTATGTATGTGTTGGGCTGCTGCAAATAATGCATGGCAGTTTGATATTTCCACAAGTTTGGTGGGTATTGTTTAGTCCAATACTTACTGTTGATTTAATTTATTCTAATGAAGCGACCATTGTGTGGTCTCATAAGTGTTTTAGCAGTATTATAGGCCATGTTTAAAACAAATCAGACCTTTGTACCAGTTTAGATGTTCTAACTGGTTTTCTCACATCAGCACAGTTGAAACTGGCCAGGCCTTTCCCCTTTCTTTCTGAGAGCATGAGTGCATTTGGACATCCATGTTACCATGATGGGACAGCTTCTGGCTCCCGAGCTACCTTTGTTGCCTTGCGCAGTGCAGCACAGATCTCCCGTCTTCCCAGAGTCATGAGATATGCCAGTACACTTTTGTTCTGTGCTAAACTGTTACCTCAGAAAAATAATTCCTGTACTGTTAACAGTGTCCCATTTCCTTAGCTGATTTCATGTTATGAACACAATTTTTTTTTAATTTAATCTTAAATATGTGAAATAGTCTGCCTAAATTTTAAGAATGGTCCTTGATTATCTGACACAAAACTTATTGGTTAGTATTGCATTGATGACCTCTGCTGAGTCTTCTTGCTGACAGTGCCCCACCTGTTAGTAGACAAAAGAAAAACGAGATCTAAAGAGATGTGAACACCAATATCTGCAGAGTTCTCATCTCCTGAATAATAAGCATCACACTTCGATATTTCTTCCTCAGTATTCTCTCGGTATTTTTCATCCCTTGCTGTGCTACATCTAATTTGCAACCTAATCTCTACCAGAAAAAAAGACGGTGAGTTTTGTTTCCCTAGGTTCTAGGCACGCATAGTTTAAGTATAGAAATGTTTAAATATTGGGAAGAAAAATGGAGTGCGCAAAGATAGGAGTCTCTCACTGTGACTTATCCCAACTTGCAGTTCAGCCCCTCCTTTTTCATTCTTCCCTTAATAATGGCAGTTAATTGTGTGACAACTCTAGAACGAATGGAGCAAAAATCTACTAAGAACAAGGCAGAAGCTTACAAACTTGCTCTCATTTGCAACTGAGTGGAGATGTGTTAATAAATGAAACCCTGGTTCATTAACTAACTTGCATTATCACTTAGCCCTATGTTTCTTATAAAGATTTTGGTCCACCAGATTTTAATTTTCACCGTTTCCTAAATAAAACAGTCATGGTGGTTGATAATTTAGTTTGGAACATCAGCTCAATGACGTAGAGCTAATAATAATAAATTATTATAAGAATAAATTATATAAGAATAAATTATATAAGAATAAATGCATCTGGAACTTCCCTAAGCAAAGTAAATTCACATTAGTGATATTTTTCAATGATTTTGTTGTATCTCTTCCCCTTTGGTCTTTTTCTGCTGGAAGCGTTGAATAGGTAGTATTATGCTGATGGTATGATTAGCTCACATATTCCTTCCAGAGGATAGGTTCCTCAGTATAGATTTATTTGACTCTCTAGTGTATAGTGCCAGAGTTATTTGATTTTTAGAAGTAATATTGCTAATACAACAAATTAGGAAACATCCTTCATAGTTTAGACAGTTAAAGTAAAAAATAAATTAGAAACCATATCTTAATTGACCAATACGTCTTAACTGATAGGAGTTGTCATCCCTCACAGTGTAAATTTTTCCACCTTGTGATCGCCTGTGTTTTTAATTATATCACTTCTTACTGATCTATCACTAAGAAATTTTTGATACATCATAGTGCACTATGATTTCTTACCATTACAGCTTTCTGTTAGAACCTCAGTTAATTCTGAAAATCAAATACCTGTTCTTTTTGTCAACCTGCAGACGTTGTAAAAATCTACAAATTCTTTCTAGGACACTGTATACTCTCTGCTGTTTCTTGTAGTTGCACGTAATGTATCGAATGTTCCTCTTAGTACAGAGTTATGCACCAGCAACATAGATATCATGTCTCTAGTCCTTATATATGTAGTGATAACCATGAAAATATTATTTACCACGTTTCAAGCCTTATAGCTTATATACCTACATGTGCAGACAGCCTGAGACAGTATCTGTAACAAGTCTGACTGAGATAAAAAAGGCAATTCAGAGTTCCTTGGATCCCCCTTTTACTTTTCAACCCTCCCATTAGGGATTTTCCTAGCGTTCTGCATATTTGCTACTAAATTTGTGTTTTGCACACTTTTAAAATGTTGCTTTCTGTTTTCAGACCTGCTGGAATACAGTGCAGTAGTTCTTTACTGTCTGAGTTTGCTTTACTGGAGAAATATTGAAGTTACATTACATGCCTGAAAAGCAATCTTACTACCTAAGACACAAAAATGTATTTAGGGCATGCAGAGATCTTCATCTCTGCCCTGTAGCAGGAGGGATGAAGTAGAATTACTTATTAGTTCTCGCAACCTCACTTAATTCTGAGAAATTAAGACAGAAAGTAGATGCATCATAGATAAAAGTTATGTACTGTATATGGGATCAGGGCTTTTAATTTGTAGATTTTGATCTATAAGCATGTACAAATACTTTAATCAGTCACAATGTGACTGCAAATTTTAATGGCCTCTCTTTCTGATCATACAGATATTACTGAAGGTACCTGTTAAATAAAAAAGTATAATAAAAAAGTACTGCAACTTTTTAACCAGATTATCTACAGCAGAGAGGCTGTGGAAATATACATCCTTCCTCAATGGAAGGACTATGGTACTTTAAAATTAGAAAAAAAAAAGATTTTTTTTACTGAAGCAATTTTCACTTTATCTTCCATACCTAAGAAGGAACAGAATATGTCCCTCTACAAAATGACCTGACTGTGGCATTCCAGCAGTATATACTTAATAAGAACATGGAAATGAAGGAGTAAATTACTTGAGTCGTCTCTAAACCTATGGCAGTTGTACAGCCATGTGCGCAGACATAGTTCTAGGCATTCCAGAAACAGGAATAATTTGTTTTCATTTACTTCGCCCACAGTGAATACTTGCTGCTAACTGAAATTATTTCAGCAAGATGCAGCATTTAAAGTGGTTTTTAACAATTTTACTTCGAACAACTGGAAGAGTAATTCCATTTCTGCTTACTCCAACATTGCAAAACTCAGCAGAAATTTCAAAGCCTGTTAATTAAAGTACTTTTTTCAATCAGGGACATTGTTGAGTGTATCCCTTCCTCCCCCTTACGCAGTAAAATTCAGGCTGCCTGCATTACCTCTGTATTCTGGTTACTTTAAAAAAGAGGCTACTATTTCAAGTATAGATGAAAACACTGCAAGCATATTTAGCAGGATTCTGTGGGAATTGCAGAAGGGAGTATTCCAAAAGTTAAGATCTATCAATGTTAGACTGAAGAGGGGGACAAAACTTCGACAGATTGTGCTGTCTGCATTGTTCTTTTACTCTATCCGTTTAACCTGTCTGATAACATTTGCAGGAACATCAAGTCCTCGGCCATTTTCATTCATCACCATCACCTTTCATACCAGCCTGCTCAGGACTAAGCATGAAGACTTTATTCTGCAGTGTAGAAAATACAGTCTTAGGAGGCATTTCTTTCTCACCTGTAGGCACAGCAGGTGCATAAAGTTTCAGTGTCAGGGTGGTCTTGAGCCTCTGTTTCCCCAATAGAAGTCGATGCATCATCTAAGGCAGCCTTAGCAGGTAGACCAGGAAGAAACCAAAGTCAACCAGGGCCCTCTGGTTTGTGTGAGCAGGAAGCCAGGACGCCAGGGTACAGTGCAGCGTACACCTGCCCTGCAGCTTAAATACAGCCATGCTGTGCTGGGCCTTGGTCTCAAAACAAGTATTTGCTCCATTAAACTGGCACGGTTGCTGCATTGCAGTGATGTCAGTAAGATGACTTCACTGTGAGGAATTCTTTTAGATTATCAGTTTTTTTTTAGCTGAAGTCAGTACTGAAACTTGGGAAGGGAAAAACGTATGTCAGTAGTTAAGCCAGAAACCAAGCAATTTCTGTATTCTGGGGGGTTTTTTTTGGCTGCTGCCAGCAAAAGTTTAACTAACTGCAGCACTTCAGGGCATAGCCAAGCTGGCTGTGCTCTAGGCAGCTCCCAGCAACAGAGGGTGTGGTGGCCAGGGCATCAGGTAGGTTGACAGAGTAAGTACTCAGGGTTTGCTGTTCTTGGTACCTGAATTAGCTAGGTAAAAATATGCACAAGCTCTTACTTAAACATTGTCATTATTACCTAGTGTTATTACATAGTTCATTCCTTCTTCTGCTTTAGCCTCCCCCATAAAATAAGATAAAAGGTACAGTAGGTGTTTGTGCCATGTGAAGAACTCAGAGGTTTACCTGTTTTTTTCTAAACAAGTATTATGTTAATGTGATAAGTCTGTTTGTTTTATTTTCTTCAAAGCTTCTTGTCATGGTATCTATACTATCAGTAATCCTGCCATTCTGTGCAACAAAACAATTTTTCAGGTAATTAACATCAGACTGAAAAGTGGGTTGAGAAGTGCTCCTAAGCTAGCATAAGAAATTTCTTCTAGCCTGCTTTCAACAGACTCCTTCCTTCTTTCAGAGTGAGTGACTTTTGTTTACTGCCATTTTCACCAGCTTCCTTATATTCTTAATTTGTTGCAGTGTTTCAGCAAAAGGCCACTAGACCGCCCCGTGACCATGAGAAGATGTGCTGCGATGTCAGGAAGCAAGGTACAGACTTTAATAATTCAGCTCTTTTAACTACCTTTGCACGCTTCCTGCCGCTTCAGTTGAGCTAGTAGAGCTTTGCTGCAACTTGATTTTTACTGATTTAGCATCTGTTTTTCTGTAGAAGATTTATGTCCGTAACACTATTGTAGCATTAAGAGATCAGATATGGGGGGGGAACTTAGTCTTTTGCAGAAGATGTGTAGCCTCAGCATTACTATATGCTTTTCAGTTTGCTTTCTCCACTATGATTAAAACCAAGAAAAGGCACTCCTGGATGGCTGAGCTGTGCACTAATTCCAGCCGTGGAAGAACAGTAGTGAGTGGAGCGAAAGTTGTGTCCTGAATGCCTGAAATCTGTTTAAAATGAATTACCAGTGAAAGTCCAGTTGTCATTTGAGCTGTAACATATCAAAAAGTTGCTACTGTAAATTCCATTAATGGTTCCCTAAAATAATTAACAATATTAATAGTATTCCATTAACAAGTAGCAGATCAGGATTGAAGTGTACAAAGCAGCATGCAATTGCCTATTTATTTCTATATGAGGGAACTGCAATCTCCACTGTTACTGACATCACTTTTCATTAATGTATGTTAAGTCATTTAGGAAAAGCATTTAGGGCCTTCTAGATCTTACTATGTTTTTAATAGCTTTTAATAATGGAGTTTTGCTAGCATACCTCTGCAAAGTTTATATATATATATGTATGTATATGTATACGTGTATAGATAAAACACAGTAGTTCCTGAGGAAAGCCCACTATCCTTTTGCTGATACGAAGAAAGCAATTGTCTATAAACTGAGCTGATCTCCAAACAGTTGTCAGATGTAAAGCGTTAGTTCATCGCTGTCAAAATATACATGATCAGCTGAGATGCAAAAGAGTAGAGATTCATGTCTAGTGTATCCTAGTATTTCATATGCTTCAAAAGAGGGAGTAGGAGAAGTAGCTTTTTTTTTTTTTTCCAGCGTTCTTAATGTAGTTCTGTTTGCGTAGGCTTTCCTCGCATAAAACAAAGACACCTTCCCTGTGCATAACCCAGCAGGGAAACTAACCCAACCAATAATTATGGCTTTAAGTCTTAGGTTCAACCTAGCAGCATTCACCGTGCAGCCTGAAACCAGTGCTTTATGCACTGTTGCACGCTCCTCCTACAAGAGCTGGAAAGTCCTGTTTCACAGCTGCTTGTGTTTTCTGCATCAGCCATTTCAGTATCAGGACCCTGGAGCTATATGGTGCTATACCTTTTAGGACCAGGCTGTGCAAAATCCAACAGCACAGATCTCCCTGTCATATCCATTCAGTTGCAATACACTGGCATTGTAATTTGTAAGAGAACTAGGTTCTAATGTGTTCTTGTCACTGCAATGTATCTAATGACTATAGTTGAAAACACTCGTGGGAAACTACATAATGGCTTCCAACCAAATTTCAGCCTTAGCCGTTGAGAAATGTGATGTATAACACTGGAGAACAAAGAGGGGGGAAAAAGAAAGGCACTGGGGAAATTTGTGCATTAACATGTCAAGGATTTTTCTTTACAGTGTCACTACTGTAGCTTTAACACTAGAAGGACATTTTTATATGAACTGACACTAACTGGAAAACATATGGATCAGGAAAATAGCAATTACTGAAGTGTTAAAGACGCTACTTCGCTGCCAAAGAGTCTTGGATGGTATATTTTAATTGAAATTGATTCATAAAATCACTGCTAACCTTTTTTTTAAAAAAGGTATTTGCATCATAAAGAAAGAAATGAAAAGAGTTAATTCTTTCTGCCTTTATCTGTTTACATTTCATTACAGCACACAGAGGCCATGGTGATGCGGTCACTTACAGCACTTTGAAACAGACCATTTCTGTGAATGAAGCACTTGAAAAATTTAAACAATGGCAGAATGAAAAGAGCAGACTGCAATCTGCTCAGCAGGTATGAGACTGAACGTTTAATGTTTCTTGATGCAAATCTTGATCAAAAGTTCCAAAAACACGCTCTTGCATTTTAACTGCTGCATGTGAAGTCTCAAATAAGTGTCATAATTTATGTGCCCATCAGCTCCTGTCAAACTTGCTGCTTAAGGTACTGAACCTTTTAGGTACTTCTTCCCACTGAAGGCAGGCTTGCATAGTTATTTGAATATCTGAGAGTCTTCCTGAATTTACTTTGCCTTGTTTTAGGTGCTGGTGCATTTGGTTAAAATCCCGAGGTAAACATGTTAGTCTGCTAAGACGTTTATTCTAAACTGCTTAGGTCTGTGCATCTTCTATGAAGCCACTAACCTTCTGTAGCTGAGAAAACTGAGCATGATATTGAACGTTACCAGCTAATGGAAACATAACTTCTTCAAACTTACGTTGTTAATATGTATTGCCTACATCATGATTTAGGCCCATCTGAAAGTGTTTAACCTACCTAGTAAATTCAAAATTCTCAGAAACACACTTAAGTGCTTTTTTTCAGTGCATAGAGTAAATTTAAGGTGCACAAAAACAAGATTTATAAAAGCCCGCACACTGAATCACTGAAAGCATTACATCAAAGCTAGATGAGGCTAAGGAGAGACAAGGTGAGGTGGTTTGTTAATTACTTCTAACCTAACCATTGGGGGCAGAGGTCATGCCCTTATTTTACATTAGATCATGCATTAAATAAAAAATATTTTTATTGTCCTGTGAGTACGTCTAATAGAGAGAGGAAAACCATGGTTAGTCTCTTGACCTACTCTAGAGAATAGGAGAGCTGTCAGATGCCAGTAACAAGGAAAGGTTAAATGCCCTTTTGTTTACAATTTGTCTTTAGTAAATGCATTAGCTTTGTCATCACAGTGAGACACTAAGAGCAGAAGTGCAAGCGCTCGGAGTGACTAAGGTGTACGGTTTCCAGGCCATGTACCAGCAGCACAGCACTGGTTGTTCCACAGCCGTTCGTGAGTGGGGTGGATACCCGCTCCTGAATCTGTCTGTGCCCAGCCACACAGCTGGGAAGCGCCAGCACTGCTCTGTCAGTCAGTGGACTTGCATGTGGAGCAAGGTGATGCCTACTTTGTGCGGCGATAAGAACACTAAGTCATAAGTCGTTTTGCTTGGTTAACTAGCAGATCTCTGTGTTTAAAGGGGGATTTACAGGGCCTCTTTTTACTGCTTAAGGAAAAAAGCCACTTTCTAGTGGTTATTTATATTCTGAGCTGTATTTATGACTTTTCTTTGGTTTTATACCTTAGAAAAGTCTTCACTCTTTAGCCCCGTTATGAGCTTAATTAATTTACCTCATACTGTCATAGCCGTAGTTTAGTCTTCACTGGGATTTTGAGTAAAAAAAAAAAAAAAAAAAAAACCACTGTCCAAAGTGAAAAATGAAGACCCCCCCCAAAACTCTGTGGTTTCCTAGCCACAAAGAGAAAGCAAAGCCCTAAAATCAGCCACAGTGTTAAAGTGGCTCTGTAATGTAATTCCAGAATCATCATAACCTACTGACAGGAAAAATTGCACAAGGCTTCTTTAGGTATAAATGTTAAAAATATGATCTATTTGTTAAGCAGTATAGATATTTTTAAAATACCCTTTAAGATAGTTACAAAATCTGTTTAATAAAAAAAAATTAGTCTTTTAAAATTATTTTCCTGGATAAAGGAGCTTCATATTCAAAATGTTAAAGAATCCAGCATTTTATATGTATTAATTTATTATTTCTACAGTAAACCTTCATTACTGACTTCTGCTGCTTTTATGCTTGCTTTTTAACTTACTTAAAGGAGAAGGTACACCACCTTAGAGGAACCAACATCAGAAACAGACTGGAAAAGGAAAATCTGCACGGTAAGTTACACTTTATTCGCCTTTCAAAACACTGACGACTTGAACTGTAAATAAATATACTGCAAAGACCTGCTGCAGATCATAAGCAGACTTTTGGATCAGGCACTGGGTTTGTAATGAGCATTTTCTATCTTATTGCATCGAAGTGTTGTGTGTTTAAAGTAATCGGTCCTTTAGAAGGGTCAAGATTTTGTCCCAAAAGATGAGCTCAGTGAGAGTTAGTGGGGCAGAAAATTTACCAGTTCTGCACAGTTCAGCTTTTCTATAGTTGCTATTTCCTACTGCTTTGTTATACTTAGAATAAATGATTTATTCAGGACAATTTAATTGATGAATTCAATATTTTATTGGTAAATCAGCTGTCAGTTTACACTTGTAAATTCTTGATAAACCTTCCACTGCTACAGTACTAATAGTATTGCGATTCATTAATAACAGCTGTACAATTGGTAATTTAAGATGCTTTTTTTCCCTTTGGAATTGAATGCCTTCAGCAGTATAATTCACCTATATTTCCTATAAATTATTTTCTCTTGTTGTGTCAGTCTTGACTGCAGACCCAAGATTTCTGTAAACGTCAGTACATATAGGTTCTTGGAAGTAAAGTACTGTATTTCTTTTTCACATTACACTTAGAACCCTCAACATAAATTTCTATTTATAATTATCACCTAAGTATAAGTTATTTCCTTACAATAAGGGAGAAAAATAATCCATAGTACTACTTCCATTATTCCATTAAACAGCGTTGCATTTATGTAGACCTGCATTTATGTAGCATTCAGTCAGTAGCTCTTTACTGAAAAACATTTTTTTAATATCTTTTAGCTGTATCAATGACTGAATTACCAGATAAAAGCCTACCTAAACACTAATACTATTTAATTGTAGCGAATGGTAATACCCTCTGAACATAAGAACAATTATTCTAAGGTTTGGCTTTAAGATTCTACTTAACATACAAATGCATGCAGTTTAGGCTCCAGCGGTTTGGGAACAAAACTGAATATGAAAGGAGAAATTCATGTGCTCTTTTTGAAACATATTTAAAAAGCAAGCATGCACCTCTGTGAAAGGTAGGAAGGTGACAGAAATAATAATTGTAACAGTGGATTTGCCAGCCCCTCCCAATGGGGAAAATCGCCATTGAACGTCACCCAAAAGGTAAGTGGTAATACCTGGTGCTTGGTTGATGGGTTTGTTTAAGTGCTTTAGGCTTGCCTCCCCCACCCCTCCCCGCATATCCTCTGTGACAAAGTCCTGTGCAGAAATGCACTTGTCATCAGCAAGTTCTTCCTTTCAGAGGAATTCTAGATTATTTATATTTGAGCCTTACAAACCTGCATAGCCGGTAGAGGTGCAGCATTCTAAGCATGGCAGCAGGCTGAGATCCTGCCCTGCCCTGCCCAGCCTGCCAAGTGCTCCTATTGGCAAGGCAGAGCTCGCGATGATGCAAGCGTGATTCTTGGAAACAAGAATCTGGCTGTAGGGTTTATCTATCTGTAGGGTTTTCTCCTAAGACCACGTCAGTCAACGAATCATACCAGCCAGGTCAACAGAAATGTAGTATCAACAAGAGAATTTTAAATTTTGTGAAACAGTAAGGCTTTTGTATTCTCCACTAACTCAGATAATGATCACTATGTTCCCTTCTGATCCTAACCTCTCTGCCCTTTGTTACACTGTCTTATAGCTCATGATGCATTTAAAATCAGCTGCTTTGCACTGTAGAGATACAATGAGAAGAATCATTACAGATGGCCCCTGTCCTACCTAACAGCACACTCATTACCAAAGATATAAGTTACTGAAAACAGGAACTTTTAAAAGATAAATCTCCCCCTGGGAATGGAGGCACACTAATGGCAAGAATAAACAGGACCTCAGAACAGCAATACCTAAATTCAGACATAAATAAATTTCCTGAAGCAAAAGTGACAATTGCATTTTTTTTCTTCTTTCTGTAGTTCATAAGGAAAGCAGACCAGAGAGCGTTCATTTTAGAGACTTGTTATACTACATGCCATTTAATAAAGTGGTACGTATGAACGTTGGCAATTCTCAGATTTGTTTAATGGGTTTGAGTTCTTTTACGTCTGTAAACAGACTCACCAGCCATACCTTGGGCCCATACATGGGCCTCTCTCTGCAGGTTTCACAGCTGAAGTTAAGTTTCGGATATCCTTTTTCAGAGATCCTCTTTGAAGACTGCATTTAGGATTCAAAGAGATCACATCAGAAGCCTGTTGGAAAAGGAATTTCATTTTTATTTTAATGAGGAAGGAAAATATATGCTATAATGAGTAAGGAACATGATTTTTAGTTTCCTGATAAGTTTGATCTTGCTTCCACTGTAATGAAAGTTATTAATGAAAGTACTGCTCAGTTCAGTCTTCCATTATAACATTTGATATTATCTTGAAGTTCACATCTCATTTTGTGACAGCTTAATACAGGACTGCATAACAAAAAAGGAAAAAAAAAAACAAGAAAAATCTGCACTTGCAAGGCAAAAAGGAAGTTCTGTCACTCAAAGTATCTACAAAAACATATTTTAAGACCAAATGAAAAAGGACTAAGCACGTAGAACGTTGCAGAAAGTACAGGCACATGCAATGCTTTGAATATCATTACTACAGACTATACATATGGTCTTATCTGTAGACACTGATACTTTTCTTCACAAAAAAAAGGGTAAGTTAGTTATTAAGGGAAGTCAGTCAACAGAACAGGAAAAATAATAAATTTAGTAAAATTTCATGGAAATACATAAATGATTTTGAGACCAAAGCTTCATTTTCAAATATGTTTGGCTCAGACTTTTTAGGGTATTGAAGGGTTTTTTTGGCATCTTTTCTAAAACTGTGATAGTGCTGAACTGGAGACTGGAGAGAACAATAGGAGTGAAACAGTTGGACTAACTAGGTGCATCTCTAGCATCTGAAGTCCTCAGCTGGGGATCTCCTCTGGGAAACAGATTTCCAAATCGAGACAACCATAAGGCAGCCTGTGCTCTCACAGTAAGGCAGGTGCGTGCTGCTGCGGGATCCCATCAGGGCAGGACACGCATACAAATGGTTACACCACAGCTTATTCTTTGGTAGCTGACTTCTCACCAGTACCCTTAAGCATAAGGTAGAGCTCAAGACTTGCATAGGTTTATGCGTGGCCACCAGCAGGACTACTGGCTGCAGCTTAGACAAAATTTGTTTATTTAAGCATGACTAGGCAAATCTCATATAAAGTCTTAGAGATAGTGGGACTTTCACATGCATCCATACTTCCTAGCATCTAAACACTTTTTTAAAAATCTGGTAGATGCCTATCTACATCTTTAGACATTTGAATACCTATGTGAATCTCACTTAGTTGCTTCTGAAAATGGGACTAAGCCTTTTAAAAATTTGGCTTTTACTGCAGTTATAGCACCTTACATGTCACATCCCACAGATTTAGTCATCCACAGTGTAAAAAATAAGCGTAAGATTGCAGAAACTACATACGGCAGTTTGAATTGCCTGCAATTGGCTATCTCCTTGTAGCTGACCTCTGTAGAACCTGGGCCTCGGTGCTGTTTCAGGGATACAGTTTGCATAGTATCAGACTCCTCAAAACTGGGAGTAACTGATACGCTGCTTCCCACTCACAGCATAGCAGCAAGACTAGACTAGCTGGTGGCACTATTTCACTGTGAGGCAATGAGCAAGATAGAGGTCACAAGACAAACTGTAATTCAGATGGCCTTTGAAAGACTAATCCTGTATTAAGCGAGTATTAGGCTTGATCTTTTTCATCATGTCAGTAGTTTCATAATAGTTATAAGTAAGGGAATGCAGGTCTTGGGAAACATGTCAGACAGTAGTCCTCCAGTGACAAATACATCTTTGGAGCAAATTAGCAATTCAGTCTTTGCATCATCTGTTCCATTCTTGGGATCTTTGGTGAGACTGGCAAGGTAGGTGAAAAAGGGCTTTGTCCAGTGAGTTTTCACAGGGAACTGAGCTGAAACCATTTATTTTATTGCTGTTAGCTGATAACCAAAAGGTACGTATAAATTTAGTCATTACTGATTTCTTTCTGCCTCTGCAAGTGGCCTTCATGTGCAAGAACGATCATAACTTTACCATCTATTGCCATGGACTGTTTAATACAGACCTGCTCCTGTAAGGTGCTATATACCGCCAGGTCATGCACTGCAGTAAAGACAGCCTCAGCAGAATTTCTTCTTTCAAATTTTGATCTCCAAATCTGTAGAAGCCTATGACAATAAAGCAAATTTAGTTTAATTAAGTTTCCTCAACCAGCTGCCAAAGACCAAATCTCTTCCTTAGCGTCATCCAGAAAAAATTCTCAGAAGAGCACTAAGCAGCTTTCACAAACTGCCAGTTTATTGATTAGGATCCCTGTCCCTAATAGTTGGCTTCAGTCCTCAACCGGCATCAGTGCCTTGTTTTTATTCCAAGTTGCTAGTAGATTGCTTATTCATCAGTTGATGCCCCTGCAGCTTGCAGGTATCATCTAAGTAGAGATTTCCCTGAACACTGAAAAAAAAGCTCTTAATTTTGAGGCTGTTTGTTTACCAATTTCTGTTGTCTCTGATAGGCCAGTAGGAAGATGAACAAGCACAGACCTTGATTTTGATATTTGTATCTGTAGGAACTCAAACTTCTTTGCTCAAACCTGTTAGCCAGGGTGAAGAAATACAGGCTCATCAAGTGTGTGTAGACTTTTGTATATGCCACTGGAAAGTGATGAAGTTATATACCACTGAAGTCATGGAATAGGTTTTTTTCTTCATGACCTAAACAGTATGCATTTCAATCAGGACTGCCAGTCTTGAGAATATGTATTTGTTGATTGTTGAAGATAGTGACCCTTGGACTTTTGGTGCTACATTTTTTAGCCTGTTTAACCTTATTTCCAGCTTCTTAAGTATTTTGTAGCTTCAGATCACGCTGACATTTAAAATCAAGGGAAAAACAAACACACACACAAAAGTCTGTTTCCTTCCTATTTGTTACAATATCAAGCCTTGATGAGGCCAGCCCACAGCCAAACTGTAGATTGAGGAACTCAAAGACAACTAAATATTCCATACATTTCCTAGCCCCTCCTAATTTGCTTCATCCTTACAAATGCACATCCTCACACCAGCAAGAGGAGACTGATTTGCTGTTAAAACTAAGCTCCATTTATACAAAATCTACCTCATGCCATTGTCTAACACAACGCTGTTGTGGATGTTCTGTTCTTACCCCTCTCTCAGGGGCATATGCTGTATTCACATTTGAAAGAAAACGCATAAAAAGTGACTCACCCTGGCTATATATTTTGTGAATTATTCAACATTGAAAGGCATTCCTTACTGGCCTAATTTATCAGTGATATGTACATGACTATGTATTAATTGCATCTATTTCTTTCTAGTCTCCAACTAGAAACCCAACAGACAAGGAACAGATGCCTAAATAACAGAGGTAAGAGCATGTATACAAACACACACAGAGACGTTATTTGTCATGGAAACTAAAGCTTGTGAAAGTGCTTTCTCTCAGAATGCATTCTCTTAACAATAGAACGGAAGTGCATCTCCATCAGAGGTCTGATTTCACAAGATAAACATAGCTGTCATACATTCCAGTTTATATTAAAGTTTATTTTTTGTCAGGTTTCAGTCTATTCTTGCTGCTGTAGAGGCAGATTTGCATGCCATTTGAAACTCAGCTGACTTGTGGGTGCAGTTGAAGAAGGTTCCCATTAGTCATTACAACTAATTAAGCTTATGCAACTAAAGGCACTTTTAGAGTGCAGTCCTACATTATGAACACACACAATCAAATATACTGAATATTGAAATCAAATTGAAAGATATAGGTGCAAGATTAACTGAGACAAGTGGTCCTTTAAGTGCTAGAAATATTACAGGTAATGGTACTGTCTCCAAGACCAGCAGAATTTTCTGATGATTCTGTTAGTAAGCGTGACATTTTTACTTTTGGACATTTAACAAGACCTTTAGTAGTTTGTGTTATTACTATTTGCTACCTGTGTGCTCTCTTGTATTTCTCATAGCATTTTTAAAACTATTTAAGTCTACCTTTCAATGAAAGGTAATCATTAAACTTGCTGCTAGGAGATAAAAGTAAAAAAAAATATATATATTTTTACAGCACTCATTGTCTTTTTTTTTTTTTTTTTTAAATCAGTCTTTTATATCTTTTTCAATCTCTGTGCTGAGAACAAGGTTACCAGAAACAGCACTTGGATCAGCGGAGGTTGTAGGCTTCAGATCAGTTATCTTACAGTCATTCTGGACACAGGGTACGGTAAATAATCACCTAGAAAATTTTTGACTCTGAATCCCTCTGAAAATGATCAAAGTCATGCAGCCTTTCCTATTTACAGCAGAATGATCACCATTAAAAGCTTAAGCCCCAGAACAAGGAAGTCTGCATCCTGTTAGGACACGTGCAAATCTTTTTCTTGAGTTCACTAATAAATTTCACATACCTTGGGTTTCATAGATGCTGAATTTCTTTGGTTCACTTGGTCTGTGCAAGAACAGCCTGTGCTGATCAGCTCCGAAAGCTGTAGTTAGATTTACTTCTTCAATTTCCTTTCCTTTAGATGAGTTTAGGACCTGATAGGGATACTGAAACTTTCACAATTAAAGTTTATATTTTAAAATTTGAATAGCATTTGCAATTTGCATTATTAGAGTTGTGAAAGGGACTAAATAACATTAGTTTACAGTGACAAAATGATACAACATATCTTTAAAGACAAATCTAAGAAAGGCCCTGTTAGCCGACGGTTATTTTGTAAGGTGACTCAATTTGCTTCTCCAGTTTCTCCAAGACTGGAAATGATGTGCAATACTGTTGAGGTGATGAAAACAGATGATCTTCAGCGAGGGCCCCTATGCCACTCCATTCTATATGAAGGAGAGGGTAGTTGCTCTCTGAGAGTGCTGCGTTCACTGGAGCCACTGCCCATGTGTGCCATAGGACTGCACTGTTGCCCGATTTCCTTAATATATTGTCACCATTTCTACCACAGCAAATATAGCAGAGAACTGTGGTATGGCTAAAGGAAAAGGGAAGGATAAAGAAAGTGCCTGCCCACAGGAAATGAGACTGGCAGAGAAACAAGAAAAAAAAGTCACAATAAATCTGTCTTTCAGCCGAGATTATGTTTTAGGGACTGGCAACATGACCAGGAGGGGGAGAATACCCACGTCTGATGCTCTTCCAGCACAAACAACAGCATTTCTATTTGGGTTCCAGAGGTACGGTGTTTTTTTAAACACAGAGTATAAATTGTGTTTAGATTTTTCTGGGACACTAGGACAGCTCTAACCATTATCCTGTCAGGGTCTCATCTCCACTGGCAGAGCCCTAAGCTGAGTTTATAGAAATTGCTTGCTACTGTCTTACAAAAACAAGGCTGTAAAAAGTTAATACATGCTACAAAAATGTTTCAACTCCTGCTGCTTGCTCTGCGGGCCCTCTTTCCCAGGTCGTAGCCAGTGGTGTGCCACCTGAAGTGGTGTACCACCTTCTGGTCTACTTTTCGCCTTGTTTTGGATAAGAAATGGACACCAGAGGGAGACTGGCATCTTTTGCTCCTCCCTACCATCTGACCCAGAAAAGGAACATATGCAAAAACCTATTTAAAAAACAACAACAGCAGCAGCACTTTTCTTTTTTGTCAGCATACCTTTTTAAGACCTAGCTCTGTACCTTAACTAAGGTTGTAGTTTAAAATATGACTCCCTCTCCATGTGATTACAGCTTTAAGCTGTTTTTCAGTCAGCTTGTGGTAGTTGCTTGTCTAATCATTTTGTGTGTCTTCTGGGATTAAATGAGGCCTCAATGTTGCAGTCTCATCAGCTGTGCGTTACTCAGTCTGTCACTTACATGCAAATACTTGACTAAATTTGAGGAGTCAGTGCTTACCTACAGTGCAGAAGACGACTTCCACAGACCTTCAGCTGCCCACTGGATGAGGCTGAGCCATAAGTGTTAGCTCTTATACTGTGCTTTCCTTTTCTCCTCCATCTCCCTTCCAGCTCTTGTGAAGATGATGGAAATCATTGCAGCACAGCAAGGAAAGGGACTTGCCTTTTAGCATCAAGATTAGTTTACTTTATAGCTGCAAAAAAGACCCCACAGATGACTGACTGGAAAGTCAAGGCATCTCTAGAAAAAAATAACTAAAAATACTTAGTTTAATTATATATGGATTTAGATCTAGACTACATTTGCAGTCTTAAAACAGAAATTATAGTAGAGTCCTCACCGAAAGTAGGCCTTTTCTCTTGAGACCTGCTTCCTACTTTGAAAGAGACTAACTTTACACCTTGGGCAACGTGCACCAAACCAGTGAGGAGCAAAAGCTGATGAGGTTTAGGCTCAGTGTTCATCACAGCATTCTCTCAATGGTATTAGGCTTCCATAAAACCTCTTTTCCTGGTACTTACCCTCTAAACCACTTGTTCAGGTCCCCCTCACTCAAACTTCTCGGGGGGGGGGAGGAAGAGGACTTATGGAAGGGGACTATTCCTTTATATTCATCGACCGAGCAAGCTATTATGATGAAAAAGTTAATAATAGCAGTGATGCTTACAAATTGCAGATTGCTAAAACAGGATGAATCATTTAACAGAGCGGGGGGAGGGGGGGGGAATTACCCCTGGGATTAGAATAGATGATCTCTGTCACTTTTGGAGAATCATTATATGGGTGAGAGAGAGTGAATTAGATGTGGGAGAACTTGCAAAATACAATTTATCCAGCAAATTCAACCAATTGTGCTTGAGAATTATCCATGTCAAACTCAACAATCCTCTGTTCCCCAAAACATGATCTCTCCATAGCTTTTTTGCCATTTTCTTTCTTAAAGTTGATTTGGAGGTTTGAATACTATAGTATTAGAGATGTTAGTATTTGAAAAGCAAAGCATTTATGGAGAGGCCCATGTGCCATAGCTGTAAACTAGTGGAATAGCCATTGCTTGGTTTTGGTTTTTTCTCCCTTTTACACCACTAACAGAGATCATGGTAACAGAAAGGTAACAGATTTGGAAGAGGACTATTCATTTATATGCATCCACCAGAAAACATTTATTTAAGGTGAAATTCTAAAATGTCCTGTAAACTGCATCTCTAAAATTTATGCTTTCAGTACAAACCCAACAGAAGTCTTTAAAAGAGGCTGTAACATTCTTTCTTAAAGTGATGAAATACATTCAGCAGCATATACAATTATAAAGTGGTGTACACAAAGGAGACCTGACCCTTTCCCATGCTTTTGTTTGAGGGGAAGAAAAAAAAAAAAAAAAGGTCTGAAGAAAAAAAGGTCTGAAGATAATATCATCTCATTCATACTCGTGCATTTTAGCTGGCTCATTGCAGGGAAATTTTTGAGTATTTGATTACTTCTAAAAATTGCAGCTAAAACATTCAAAAAATAAGCATCTATTGCTAACACCCTGGGTCTTCGAATGCTTAAGTCTCCAACTCCAGTGCTAAGTTCTTCCTAGCTATGTTGATCATGCCTTTATGTACATCATATTGTCTTCACACAAGAGGAGAGGCAGTCTGGAGTTAGTACCCAGTAGGTGGATCTGAAGGAATAGACGCTACTGTTGATTCTCTGTTGCTCGTTTTTAAGAGATACTGTATCTGAACTTATCCTAAGCAAACACCCGCAGCCTTTTCAGTAATAGGCATTTTTCATTATTTCTTACAGCACATTTCTTCAACCAGCTGCACATTGATTTCCTCTTTTAGGCATCCCACAAACTGCACCCTGACTTAGGCTCAGGCTCCACGGCGTTCTGCTACGATGTGGCCATGCTGTCGTTGCTGTGTTTCCCGTATCTTAGAATCGCTTACCTGGGCCAGCTCTGGAAGAAGTCCAGTATAATTAAAGCAAAGTAATAAAATTTCTTGTAAAGTCAGCACTGAATTTTACATTATTTTCTTGCCAGTTATTTTCTCCAGATGACAGCTGAGGTTATATAATACACTGTGTGCTTTAGTTAATTGTTTTTAAACTCATTTCAGTTTTTCCATAATGCTTTAGAAAAGTACCACTGGCTGAGATGCTGAAATAACGTAGTTGGTTACAAGTAGATTTCATGCACACAAGAGGGAGATTATGGAAAATCCCAAGAGAATTATGAAGTTATGTTACATAGAACTTAGTTTTTAGTTTTCATTTTAAGACATTTTTATATAAGTTTAGGTATGTAAATTTGTCTTTCCTAGGAATAATAATATTACTCCATTACTAGTTTAAATGATTATATTCAAAGTAAAGCTAATTTCTATAAGTCAAATTGTATAAATAACAAAAAAAAATGTAAATGAGTACTAATTATCTGCTACCACATTAAAGTGATTACAAGAATCATGTTCACAAGGAAGTTGTGTTTTGTTTAATAAGTTGCCTAAGGTAACTGATAACCACAGACACAAAAGTCTCTAATGCATTTACATGGCCTCAATAAAGGAAAAAAAATATATATGGTTAGTGGAGATAAAGTCTGCATTTACATAGTGACATACTCAAAAATTTAACCAACCACATGACCATGTAGGAGGATGTAAAAAAGTTTGCCCCATCTCATACACATAAAGGTAAAAAAGTTAAGAGAATATTTTAACATTCAGATTGAGTCATAGCTTAAATAGATTTACCTCACCCTGATTGTCTGAACTTCATGGAAATTTTCTTAAAAAGCTGGTAAATTTAACTGTTGGCCCAAAAATGGAGATCACTCACAGCGATCACAAATTTGTTTAGTTACCTGTTATTCACTGCTATCTTTAGGCTCCTCAGTTGTTCAGAGTAAGCCTCCCCTCAAGCTCTCAGTAGTCTGAATCTGTGCGTTGCAGGTACTTAAGAGATCCTTGCACTTCAACTTTAGTTAGGAAACAGTGAAAACTGCTTTTAATAAGAAACACTCAAGTATGAATAAATGCTGTTCCCTAAACCACATGTTAAGGGAGATGGGGGGGTGGGGGGGGGGGGGAGAGAGAATTTGATGCTCAGTCTTATGAGCCTTGAGGATCATATCATTTCCTCAATTTTAGCAAATTATTGTGCCAAGAACTGTTACAAATAAAAATAAGCTAAAAGGGCAGTTTCAGGATTTTATAGTAACGACAGAGTCCTGTGACTTGGTATCCACACATAGAATTGTAATTAGCCTAAAGCTATTTTAAATGGGCTGGTTAAAAATTTTCAGGAAATCATCTGTTCTTCAGGGGGAAACCTGCCATTTCTTTCAGAAAAGCTCCCAGAAATACAGCAATGCCAGATGTACTGCTATAAAGTTATAAATATTCAGTGACTAGTTTATTAGGGTGGTAATATAACTTTGTATTCCAGACAAACGCTGCTCTTATACATTCCAAAGCTTTTGCTGTGGTTCAGATAGCCTAACATCTCCCAGATCTGGAAGTGCAGTATCTGCAAAATGAGGGACACAAGACTGTCAGACTTTTTATAAGAGAGGAGCTGTGATATTTTAGACTTACTTTCCATATGGAAACAGGATGGAGAGAATTACCTGGACTTATAAATATGTATAGAAGCTGTTATTTTAACAGACGCTTTCTCTTAAGAGCCCCCACCCCCCAAAAATATATATTGCTAAAAAGCTAGCTAGTCGATGTATCCCCTGGCAGTCATTCCCAAGGAACCAAAATATAAATTGAAGAGAGAACACAAATCAGCTAAAAAGTTTCTTCATGTTGGTACCTAGCATCTTTTCTGAGTTTCTATCCTTTGTTTCTGTAGTGGTGGAGATGAAGGGACCTTTCTGGGATCAGTCCTCACAGGTCCGAGCAGGATCCGGGTGCTCTCTGTGCTGCCAAGTGAGAGGCAGGTGCCCCAGTGGTTCCTTTGCCCCAGCAAGAAGGGACCTGGGAAAGGTTGAGAGTTGAGGTCAGTGGTAAGAAACTAAGGGAACTGGAAATTTACAAAAATGAAGTGCAAGAAGTTACAGCAAGGACACGTTATCCTTTTCTTGGAAGAAACTTGCATACCAATGTAATAACAGTGTCAAACCCTCATTGTGGAAGCTTATCAAAAACCCAGCATTACAATTCTCAGGAAAGAGAGAAGTGCTCTGTCCGTGTATGTTCATGTATTACACATCTATACCATGTATGGTGTAATACTTCACAACTTGCAACCCAGAGTAGTTTAGGATTGCCCAAAACAAAGCAACTTCTGTTCCCTGCTTTTGTCGCTTCATTAACACACAGGTCTAAGTATACTGGGTACAGTAGGGTCAGTATTGCAGGTTTCTGAAGTTTCCAAGTCTAGCTTCAGTTCCAGTTGTGAACACAACCAGGGAACTCCCATTTGCTGCATTGCGCGTATTAAACATAGAAGAAAACTATTGACTTGTTACATGGTAACAAACAACAGCAAAAAAAAAAAAAAAAAAGGAGGTTTGAAAATTTTAAAGGCCAAGTTCAGCCCTCAAGTAACATGCATAAGCCTTAGCAACATTAGTGAGATTTGAAAGCAAACTTGTTCGGTAATCCATGAATGGGAAGTGTAGGAGAGGATAGTCAGAGCCAGCTTTAGCTACTGAAGATACAGACAAATTTCAGGCTAGCCCTTCCACCCAGCACAATTTCTTTTTTAATCTCCCCACAGATTTCTGAGGCTGTGTCATTCTTTCAGGCAGCAAGTGCCCGCAGTATTTGACAGACAGTGTCTCACTGTTACACAGTAGAAGCATAATAACAGTAAATATTTAAAGCAGCTAAAGCTGTCACTAAAGCAACTTTGCTTTTCAGCCTTGGTGTAGATTCAAGAAAAAAAAAGCAACAATATTTTCAATTCTTGCAGCTGGCACAGCTACTTTTGCCACTGTCACAGAGGTACAGTTCTCCTACAGAGCACAGACTAGTCTCAAAAGGATCCAAGAAATCATCAAGGAAGACGGAGAGTGTCACTTCAGTAAAGAAATACTTTTGCATTACCACAGCTTTGCCTGCCTTTCTCACTATGATCTTCAACTGAAAAAGGATCTGACACAAGTAGTCTAATGTCTCCTCTGACTCCTGGTGTTTTAATGTAGAAGGAAAAGTCCTTTCAGTGTCTTACATGTCCTAGATCTCAGCTCAATTCTTGTCAGTGTGCAAAACCTGACAAATTGTGTGCAATCTGTGATAGAATAATTTCTATGGTATAAAATTCCATGATGGCTAGCAACAAGGCTTTTGTTTTTTTCGTTTACATGCATGTGCACACACACACACGCATGCACACACAGAACTCGCCCCACCCATAACCTGAGGCAGACAGCCATGGCCTTAGTGAGGAGACGAAGGAAAGGGAATGAGGTTTCCTCCTCCCCAAGAAAGGGATTTTCTGAATCTCAGTGTAGTTAATTACGTGCCAGTTACAAGTAAAATCATTATACAACTGCAAATATGAAAGTATCTGTTCCCTACCTCTCTCATATTCAGCATTCATGCTCTATTTTCTGCTGCAAGATTTCCATATACTTCCCCAAGGTGCGTCACTAAACTTCAGACAGGTTTATAAGCAGACATTTTGATACAGCCCTGAAGTTTTGCTAACCGAAAGCGCGTTACTAACAAGAAACAGCAGCATGTCACTGGCTAGCAGGCCACGTACCATTAAGTAAATCACAAGAGCCTAAAAGTCTGGCTGAGACGAGATCCCTGTTGCAGGTGCTCTACAATTCTATCTTCACAATAAGCTAACAGATTTACCAAATGACTGATTAGCCAAGTAAAGCTACTCCACCCTTTCAGCTGTCGCAGTATATTCCACGTGAACTGATAATCCATGCAAAAATATGGAAGTATTTTGAACAACAGTAACATCCAGGAGGAAGAAAACAATACCAAGAGAATTGCTATGACTGTAGTTAACAGTAAGCTGAAGATCGCCACATCGGGCTGCTTACCTCAAAGGGGGCTTAGGCAGCCTGGCCGAGTTGGCAGGACAAGCCTCACTGCAGCTTTTTTCAATTCAATTTTCAATTCAAACTTCAATTTTGCTGAATTGTGGGTGCTCAAATACTGTCCACTCTTTGCTGAGGTAACTCACGGTTCAGGCACAGCTCACCAGGCATGAGGGTGCAGCAAGCCCCTGCTGGAAGTTTGCCCTATGAAAAGTATTTGTAGTGCCTCAGCAACAGTGTAATGTACAGCAGAGTGAGACTAAATCTAAAGGTCCTGCCTTGATTTTATTAAAGCAGCTATAATCCTTGTAGGAATGTAAATGATGCTGAAGATACGTTTCAGCCTTGGTAGGAAACCCTTAGCGTGACAAGGGCAGAGCAAAGTGACAAGAGTTGTCCTGACAGTCCTTGAGGGGGTGTTAATAACAAAGGGAAGAGGCAGGACCATGTAGGACTGGCCACTCAGCCCCTTCATTCACTGTGACCAACATTCATCCTGACAAACTTCAGCTTTACTGAAATGCAGCTCTGAATTGGATCACTTCAGAAACAGACCCCAAGATGTGTCATCCACAAATGAGGCTGGGAGGAAAAGTACTGTCCCTTTCCACTTTAGACGCCTTGGGCAACAAGTTGCCCCTAGCCTTCAGGCTGCCGATACTGAAATGAAGAACTGCATCAGGAGAGCAGGGAGAGTTTAAATGGAGACAGATGATAGTCCCAAGGAGGGGACAGTCAGCCTGTGCTGGACTTTTAGTACGAAAAATCAGAAGATCTATTCCAACATCTCTGCCAGCTCTCAATATTTTTTTTGCAAATCCTTGGACAAGCCACTTCTTACAGATGGGAAAGCTCAGGAATGAAGGTCCCAGGTCTGAGCCTACCAAATCTCTGCCAAGTCCTGCCAAATGAAGACAGAAAGGGTTGAATATAGGCAAAGTAATCATTGAAAAAGAGTGCCCAGTGCAGCTGGGCATATCTTTTTGCTATGGTAGGCAGTGCAAAGGAGACTTATAAAGAGAAAAACATACATATAGTAGCTGCAATTGCTTGCAGATGTAAGTGACTTAAGACATTTGCTCATATGGGATATCTTTGCCACATTAGTTTTCCAAAAACATAAAACCACACATGCAGAATTTTTCCAAAAAAATTTACCATTGCCATTTATACAGAGAGAACACCTAACGAGTGAAGGAAAAAAAAAATCACATAAATATAAAAAGCAGTAAGTGCTTTTTATCAGCCAATATTCAAGTTCATAAATTATAATTTTAAGATGGCTGGTTATGAACCTCTAGTCTGACCCCTGGCAGAAGGCAAGCCAGAGTATTTCATGAAACCTTGTTGGGCAACAGCATCTCTCTGAAAAGTAGTCTTGAATCCTGTGTACTCGAAGCAAGTCACACAGATGTAACTGCTATCCAAATGACCTCCTTCTAGCAGAACTTTGTCCAATTCAACCTCCCTTCTCTGACTCTTGTAATACCTTGCTCTGCCAGGTTAAGAGGAAGTGCTATCCTCAGAAGTCTTCTCTGTACAGAGGAAGAGATCTCTAGATAAAGAAAAATAATCACTGCATTTCACTTTTGCCTTATTAAATTGAGATCCCAAAACACAAAAGATACAACAAGGTGCATCAAATGAAGTTACAACATACAGTTCTACTTACAAGATACACAGGCATGGGTTGGCACACATCGTTGCTGTTTACGTACAGTGCAGAAGATCCCATGTGCCTCAGGAGTTGAGGATCCATATACACAGTATAGAGAGGAGCCCAGTCCACAGCTTAGACTTCAGTTGTACAGCAAAAGGCAAGAATCGGGCACCATGAGGTATCAATAAGTAACCTAATAAACAGCATCACGGCAAGTACATACACCTCTGTCTCAATGTTTCCTGTTGGTAAGTTTCAATTCCTCTTTCCAGCCAAATGCCACGGCTGTTTGACTCCAGTTCTCGGTACCCAAAGAATAGCAGCACACAGAATAAGCTTGTGAATGCCACTATTGGAACCAGGTACCTGAAAGTTCAGCATATGGCATGCGGTATGGCTGTGTCAAAGCCCTTTTACACTTACGGCGATGCTTCAGTGCTTCCCTCATACTCCTGGATGCCACAGAACTGCTGTGAATAAAATTGCAACACAGACAACATGGCACTCAAGCATAATAAAAATCAAGAGCCATACAAGTACCAGCAGTTACACCCTGAACATGAGCTGCAGTGTAACAATTCCCCACCTACAATTAAGCAGACCAGCAAATACCAGAAGCTGCCTGGCTGCAGCAAAGGGCTCCCCGCTGGCTGTCGTCCTCCCAGATCACAGCTTCAGGCTCATTGTGCGCAAAGGCAGTGTGGAGAGACACATACTGCTCTAGTGGAAGAAGGGCAGTGGAAAGAGATGGAAAAACGGAAAAGGATTAGGCAAGGGGTAAATGACACCATTCGTGCAAGAATGGAGCCTCTGTAGAAGTATGCCCTCAAAAGCCCTACCACCTGCCAACACAGACAACTTACATTAGTCTTATATTTTACAGCAGATTCAGTCAGCCTATAAGTACAGGATGCAATAAATGAAGTTGCTGATGTTCTCTCTGCTGATCACTGCTGATCACTGATCCCTTTGGAGCCAGGCAAGCATCTTTATTAACATCAACACTATTAAAAAACAAACTCTTTCAAGTCCCAACCCACTAAAAACTTTTGGAGAGATATTAATACACAGATGGCATATAGGTACTACAGGGAAATTCACTAATAGCTGTGCAAAATAAAACCCATACAGCTTCACAGCCTTCCTCTTTAATGGCTTCAGTCTCACTTAATGCATCAGACTCAATGATGGTTCAACTGCTCTGTTAAGCAAGATTGGCAGAAAAAATGATAAGCCCAAAACCGATGAGAAAATTCCATCTCAGCTCTACAGAGGATCTTTCTCTCCTTGATCCATCTAACAAAATTTAAATT